TTTCTTGAATGCTTTTTCTTGGAATAATATATTTTTTAATGAATAATTTTCAGCTTAATACTAACTACTTTCTCTTGAGGCATTGCAATTTAAGGAAGTATGCTGCAATTTAATTGTTCATCCTGATTCACTTAATATGCAGATATATTAATTTCTGTAGATATTAATTTCTACAAAAATAGAGGGGCCTAAAACAACATCTGCATTTATGTAAAACACGTTTACTAAGGAGCTGCTGTGTACTGAGACACATCCATGTTAGCTATCCACCAAGAGTTCTAATGTGAGAAGATACAATAAGCAAGAGACATTTAACAACAAGTGATACGTGATGTTAGGAGCCCTGGTGGTACTGTGGATTAGGCATCGGGTTGCCAATACCAAGGTCTGCAGTTTGAACTCACTAGCCACCCTCCTCTGGAAACGACGTGGCTGTGTGCTCCGATCAATATGGACAGTTAGAGAAACCCTATGCAGGGTCATCCTGTTGGAATTAACAGGATGACAGTGGGTTTTTGTATATAAGGAAGTAGAAGAACCTGGTGACATAGTGGTTACAAGTTGGGCTGCTTACCGAAAGGTGAGCAGTTTGAAACCACCAGCTGCTCAGGAGAAAGATGAGTTACAGCTGCCGAAACTCACAAGTTATAGCCTATAGGATTGCTGAGTCTGAATTGATGGCAGTAAGGTGGTTTGTTGTTGCTATAAGGGAGTAGTGAAGTGCAGATTACAGTTACTGCTGGTGTAGGGAAGGGACTGAGTTGCAACATTAAATTGACTTAGGGCTGGCCTCATGGAAGAAGGAGCTGAGGGAGCTTGCTATTTATGTTTCTTACCTGCATTAGTTAGCCATGTGGCCTATTGAGATGTAATGTTTGACATTTAAACGTTTTCACCCTTTATTCATCCTTTTGTGTGGGTATTGATATAACTAATCTGGTGGTTATGCTCACAACTGCAGTTCAAATCCACTAGTGACTCTGCTGGAGAAAAATGAGGCTGAGATATGACAAAATACCCATTTATAAACTATCAAGGGCTCTTGAGGGAGGGGAGAGCGGGGAGGGAGGGGAAAAATGAGGACCTAATG